AAAAAAAAAAAAAAAAAAAAAAAAAAAAAAAAAAAAAAAAAAAAAAAAAAAAAAAAAAAAAGAGTTCAATTCATGATGGTCACCTAGAATTTAGCATCCCGAGACGTTTTCTTGTCAAGCAAATATAGTAGTGTTTGACAAATTAGTCGAGGTGGGCGTTAACATGTCCAAGCGCATCGCGGGATGTTTCCTTGTCAAGCAAATACAGTAGGGTTAGGTAGATTAGTCAAGGTGGGCGCTAACAGGTCCTAGCGCATTCCGTGATGTTTCCTTGTGAAGCAAATTTAGTAGGATTAGGCAGATTAGTCAAGGTGGGCGCTAGCTAACAGGTCCAAGCACATCTCAGGATGTTTCCTTGTCAAGCAAATATAGTAGGGTTAGGTAGATTAGTCAAGGTGGACGCTAATCGGACCAAGCTCTTTGATGGATATCAAAAAGGGAAAAAAGAAGCTAAAGTAAATGGAATAAATTAATCCAAGAATGTGTCATTCAATATCTTGATTCAATCTTGAGTGATGGTAAATCAAAAGTTTATAAAGGTCAATTACAACTAATCTTCAATAAATCCAAGCAAAAAGAAAAAGAAAAAGAAGAAGACGAATAATATTCAATAGAGAAAGAGATGGCCACATAAGTATGTTCTGTTCTGATGTCATGAATTGAAACCAGGGGGGATTTTACTGAGTCATGGTTGAGACAAACTTAGTGACTAAGCATCCTACCAATTCTATGAAAGCTGTGAAAAAGTAACAAGAGTGTGTGGAACCCATTGGTACGACTTTAGAACACAAAACAATATTTTAAAAAAGCAAGAAGAATAAAACTAGTATCACAAATCAGGACAGATTCAAACACAAAAGCATAGGGCTAAATATGTACTTACTTCTTCTACTGTACAGCTTCGGGTTTGGACTTGCAACATTGCCTTCGGATTTTTCGGGTTCCTCGCCCCTACGCCCATTGTCTTCGACAGCGTCTATCATGTCATCCTCCCCAGCGTTAATATCTTCCACAATATTTTTGTCCTCGTTGTTGCTTCACGTGTACATTGTCTATCATGTCGTGTTGTCCTCCTCAACGTTAATATCTTCCATGTTATCCTCGTACTCGTTGCTACACCGAGTACATCGTCTATCATGTCATCCGTCCTAACATTAATATCTTCCACATCATCCTCATCCACGTTGTTGCAACACAGAGTACATCGTCTATTATGTCATCCTCCCCAACGTTAATATCTTCCACATTATCCTTGTCTTCATTGTTGCTACCCCAAGTACATCATCTATCATGTTGCCTTCCTCAACTTAATATCTTCCACATCATCCTCATCCTCGTTGTTGCAATGCAGAGTACATCGCATATTATGTCGTCCACCCCAACGTTAATATCTTCCACATTATTCTTGTCCTCATTGTTGCTACCCCGAGTACATCATCTATTATGTTGTCCTCCCCAACTTAGTATCTTCTACATCATCCTCATCTTCGTTGTTGCAACGCCGAGTATATTGTCTATTATGTCGTCCTCCCCAAGTTAATATCTTCCACATTATCCTTCTCCTCATTGTTGCTACCCCGAGTACATCATCTATCATGTTGTCCTCCCCAACTTAATATCTTCCACATCATCCTCATCTTCGTTGTTGCAACGCCAAGTACATCGTCTATTATGTCGTCCTCCCTAACGTTTTTCACATTATCCTTGTCCTCATTGTTGCTACCCCGAGTACATCATCTATCATGCTGTCCTCTCCAACTTAATATCTTCCACATCATCCTAATCCTCGTTGTTGCTACGCGGGTACATCGTCTATTATTTCATCCTCCTCAACTTTAATATCTTCCACACTATCCTCGTCTTTTTCGTTGCTACCACCTTGGGATGTTCCAATTCTGTCCATGGTTTCCTGCAATTTCCATACATCACTATGTCCTTTTCTTGCCCTCCTTGCATTTTGCCACCTCCCCAACTCCTTCACCTGCTCAACATTTGCAACATACTGTTCTCCTATCTGTTCCTGATACTCATACAACTCCTCTCTTCTGGAGGCTTCCAATCCATAAAAGCCTGAAATGCATTTTTGTAATGCAATAAGTGGATGGACAAACATTTATGTTGACAACATACACCTAAATATCCAGTTTATATTCCCAATGACACCATCAACAAGCAACCATCCACCACAAAAGAAATTATAAAACAGAACTTTGAGACCAAACCATCCTGGATATGATTAAAATATAGAAGTACATGAAAATTACCATCCTAGATGCTCTTTTATTTCCATCCAAGCTAAACGATCCGCTGTCCCGCAAATGATTTTGTTTCCCATCGATCTGGTAGACTGTGCATCACTCCCAGATGTTTCTTCTTGAGACTTCCTTGCATCCTTTCCTTTGGCTTCTTCATTTATCTCCTCCATCAATGCGCGAAAGTTATCTTGCTTCATTTCTAAGTTTACCAATCAATCGTTTCCTTGCAGCCAATCGTTGATACTCCGAAGTGGTTAATTTCTAATTTTAGCAACAAAACCCCGAGATTAGGCTTAAAAAATGTTAAGAACACCCCAGAAAGAAATCAATTTCCAAGCCACACCTTACAACGGCAGATGATAACCGCCGCTTGGTAGGAGTCTGGTTTTCAGCATCGTTTATTTCCGCCTGAAGCATAACACTCGAGTTATCGATACAATCATCAACGAAAAGAATTGATAAGGTTTTCAGCACAAATTTCTAAAATGATGCAATCAAAATTAAAACCAAGCTTCATGAGGCAGAAACATCGTTTCATCTAACAAACTAGTCCATGTCCACGAAAACAAATACTAAAAAGCATCACGACTAGAGAAAGATAGAACGATCATAAAATAAACAGAGCCCCGACGATGTCCATTAGTTGCGAAGTTTCTCCGAAGTCCGCGAGGATCACAAAGTAGTTCTGTAATGTGAAACACCATCAATGCATCACTGAACAAGCGAAAAAAAAAGAAAGAATCCAACACAGAGAAGAACAAGAAGACGAAGAAGAAGAAGAAGGACCTCCCGGTGTTGACCTTGAAGCTCATCAATCTCCTTGCAAAGATCCTCCTCCGTGTTCTCATGGCAGCGGCGTTACTTCTCATGGGAAGAATGTGGTATGGAACTCTGAACTGAGAGGAAGAAGAAAGCGGAGGCTTCCCGGTGCTTCGTCTCTGCTTCGCGCAAAACACTTCCAAAACGGTGCCGTTTTTTCACATACTCCAATGGACCCACAAATTAGTCGTGGCATTAACAAGTGGGCCCCACTGCCAGAAGAAGAGAGAGAAGAAACCGATTTTCCCGGTCCACCCACCACATACACTGTTCATCGATTTAATATTAACAAACAATGTCCACCGCGAATCCGCCATTACGGCTCTTCCTCATCCACGTGCTACCCATATCTCACGATCGGATTTCGATTGTCCTAAAAATTCAATCCTCCTCCTTCACCTCAACCGTCCCATTCAATTGAAATCGCCGTCTCTGTGCGTACTGTGTACCGGTTCCAAATTCTAAGCCGCGATGTTGAGCGGCGGTGTCGGCGGTGGAAGCGTTTACTGGGGCACGAGGAACGAGCCCAGGATTTGTAGAGGGGTTGTCGTTCTCTTCGCTTGGGTTTCGATTCAGCATCGCCACTTGGATAAGTTCGTCCAGCTTTACGCCTCGCTTGGATGGAATTCCCTTGTTTGTTATGCTGATTTTCTCAATATGTGAGTTCTTCTTTCTTGTTCTTCGTTAATACTCTTCATCGTATGAGGATTTGGGTATTAGGGTCATGGATATTTTAGTCTGTCTTCTTCATCTGGGTTCTTCGGTTCTTGAATTACGAGTTTTCCCATCTAGTTATGAACAGAATTTGAGGGGTTTTCGTTTTCTGTGTTGAAATTTGGTGTTTGTTTGGGAAAGAATTGGACCTAACCTGAAATTCCCATTTCATTTGGATTTGTTCTTAAATGGTTTATGTTTAACCAATTGTTCTGTTCTTACTGACCGTAATACGTTCAGATTTGATCCTGAAAGAGCTACATCACTGGCATTTCTTGTTCTTAATGAGCTCGTTGAGGTCAGTGGCAGGCATTTCTCTCTTATTTTGTATGGCTTTTCATTCGATGAATTTCTCAATGGCTACGATTTTGTAACGATATGGTTTAAATTATCTCTACAGGAGCTAAGAATGAAGCTGCGTCCTGTAGTTTTTGTAGGTCTAAGTGGTGCATCAAAGGCTTGTATGTGCAGAGTTTTGCAGGTGACTTAGTTCACTTACAGAGAATTCTCCATCTAATGCTTAAATTTTCCATTGAATATGTAACTTTGATGCAACTGCTACCGTGTTAATGAATGAATTGCTGCATAAATTGCAGATCATTGAGGGAAGATGTGGCAGTCCACTTTACATGGTTAGTGATTTATATTCTTTAAGGTTCTCTTTTAAACAATGCTGCATTGTGTTATTAATTCGGTTTCAAATGATATTTTCGTCGCCTTCTTTTTACTGTGAAGGCGGAATGTCAAATGATCAGAGCTTGTGTTTCTGGGCACATCTATGATTCCAGTCCCATAGAGCTTATAAGTGACTTGGGCGCTCGATTTGCCATACATCCTGCTATTCGAAAAGTGCCCGGATCGTCACAACTCATCTCCTGGCTTGCTAAAGGCGTCTCTTCTGGTCTTGATGCTCTATATCTTACTAGATTTGATTCACAGCGCGATGAGTATTGGCGAACACTGTGTTCATCTGTTGTAAGCTTCCTAATTTAGTTTTTAGCTTCCTGAACTTTGTTTCACATTCTGAAGTTAATAAGTTTTCTTGCTTTTCTTAGAATATTGGTGCCCCATTTCTCATTATGTGCTCTGAAAAGGACGATCGTGCTCCGTATAAAGTTATCTGTGATTTCACCAAGAGTATTCAAGAATTAGGGGGTGATGTTCAGTTGGTAAAATTCAAAGACTCCCCACACTTAGGTTTGTCTCAAACTTAATATTTACTTTGTAGTACTTTCATTGTTCTTTTAAGTTCTCTTGATAACTGTGAGATCTTACATCGGTTGGAGAGGAGAACAAAACATTCCTTATAAGGGTGTGGAAACCTCTTCCTAGCAAACGCATTTTAAAACCTTGAGAGGAAGCCTTTGAAGGGAAAGCCCAAAGAGGTCAGGTTTAAGCTATTACAAATGGTATCAGAGCCAGTCACTAGGGGGGGATACTGGGGCCCCAAGAGGGGTGGATTGTGAGATCCTACATTGGTTGGAGAGGAGAACGAAGCATTTCTTATAAGGGTGGTGTGGAAACTTCTCCTTAGCAGACGCGTTTTAAAACCTTGAGGGGAAGCCCGTGAAGGGAAAGCCCAAAGAGGACAATATCTGCTAGCGGTGGGTTTGGGCTGTTACAAATGGTGTAAGAGTCCGTCATCGGGTGGTGTGCCAAAGAGGATGCTGGACTCCCAAGGGGGGTGGATTGTGAGATCCCACATCAGTGGAAGATGAGATCGAAACATTCCTTATAAGGATGTGGAAACCTCTCCGTAGCAGACGCGTTTTAAAATATTGAGGGAAAGCCCTTGAAGGAAAAGCTCAAAGAGGATAACATCTACTATAAGTGGGTTTGGGCTGTTACAATAACCGAAGAACTTGCCTGTTTTATATGATTGGTCGTGCTTTTTCCTTATTAGCCAATAGAAATTTGTAGTTTGATGTTTAATTTCCTTTGTAAATCTCGAGTTCAACGTGCATAAGCAAGATTTGAATGAGAGATTCTAGCAGCTTGTCTGATGTGATATCTATTTCATGTCAGGTCATTACAAAAATTACCCAGCTCAATATAGAGCTGCTGTGACCATATTTCTTGAGAAGGCATCATCAGCTTACTCCCACAAAATCCCACAATTTAAAGGAGAAAGAAGAGGAATGGAAGGCGATGGAATGCCTGAATTGATATGTGACCTTCAGAATGCAGCAGTTAATTCAAACCAGAGTTTTCGAAGAGTCGCAGTCGGGCCTAGTGATCACTTCTTCTTGCCAAGCTCAGCAGATTCCCAGGACGGTCGGGAGCATCATCCTCCCATGCCTGATCAGAAAGAAAGAATATCTCCACTTTCAAGCCCCCAAGGAATCAGTGCACACAGCGTACTCGGCCAGTTCCTCTTCGACGTTTGTGTGCCCAAAAATGTTGAAGGTTGGGACATCAAGTTCCACGGCTCTCTGAACGGGCAACCACTTGCTTCAGCTCGCAGGCACTCTCCCTTCCCCGGTACAAAGCTTATCCGTCGCTCTAGACTGTGAAAAACTGAGGTTTTAGCTGTGTGAGTTTATTATCATCTAACCTATAGCTACCACATCTAGTTCAAATACTAGCCAGAGAATCCCTCCCTTATGGTAGTATTAGCAATATTAGGAGGTTGTACCTCTGTGGGGGACGAAAGGGTGGCTCAGCGTCGCACTGGTAAAATTGTACGTATGAATCACACAGAGGTCTTGCAGTATATGCAAAGACGTAGAAGTTTCAGACTGCTCTATGGAGCGATAGGTTGCGACGACAGGCTCGGAAATAGGTTAGAGAAGTGTTGTATGACGATGACGACGACGACGATACACAGTAGCAGGGAGTTTTTTGTTGATAGAGTTTAGTGTAGAGAAGGAAGTTTGAATAATGTTGACAGAACTGTTAGTTGGAAGTTTGATTAGCAATTATGATCGCACATATATTCATTTTAACGATACAAGACAAGTTTTGGAGTGGTTTTGAGAATGATATTAATCTAATTTGAAGTTAAATCCTAACACATTTAAACTACATCTGAAATGATTTTCACGTCAAAAATCTCGATACGAATATAACTTGCATGTTCGGTGCATATGAAAGGATTAAGCACAAAAAGTGAAACATTAGTAAAAATAGATGTTTATGGATTAATAAAAAATAAAATAGAGGGGTTTAGAGAGATTTAAAATAGAGAGGTTTAGGCTCAGTAGAGAAGTGAAATATTAGTAAAAAATAGAATAGAAATATTAGTAAAAAATAGAATAGAGAAGTTTAAACCCAGTAAAGAGTGAAAGGTTAATAAAAATAGACAGGTTCACATTAAAAAGCGAAAGATCAGTAAAAATGAAGGTTTAGAGAGATGTTTAGGCAAGGAGAAAGAAATGAAATATTAGTACAAAATAGAGCAGAGGGATTTAGAGAGATATTAGTAAAAATAGAAATGTTTAGACACAATGAAATATTAGTAAAAATAGACAGATTTAAGTACAGTAAAAAAAGTAAAATATTAGTAAAAATAGAGAGGTTTAGACACAATATAATAAAGTAAAATATTAGTATAAATAAAGAGATTTAGGTACAGTAGAAAAGAGTGAAATATTAGTAAAAATAGAAAGATTTATGTAACGAAGAAAGAAGTGAAATATTAGTAAAAATAGAGAGATTTAGGTAAGTAAAAAAAAAGTAAAATATTAGTAAAACAAAATAGAATAAAGGAGTGCAATATTAGTAAAAAATATGATAGAGAGGTTTAGACACGGTAAAAAAGAATGAAATATTAATAAAATTAGAGAAATTAGAAAGAGTAACGTTAGTAAAAATAGAAAGGTTTAAATTAAAAAAAATAAATGAAATATTAGTAAAAATAGAGAGGTTTATTAGTATTAGTAAAAAAATATAATAGAAAGATTTAAATAAAAAGAAGTGAAATATTAGTAAAAAATATAATAGAGAGGTTTAGAGAAAGAAGTGAAAAATATTAGTAAAAAATATAATAGAGAGATTTAGAGAAATGAGTGAAATATTAGTAAAAATAAAGAGATTTAAGTACCGTAAAAATATTAGTAAAAATAGAAAAGTTTAAAACAGAGAAATTTAGAAGAAAGAAGTGAAAACACAGTATCAGATCACGTCCTTGTAAATAGAAACACATGAAATATTAGTAAAAATAGAGAGATTTAGATAAAAACAATGTATCAAGTTAAGAAATACAGGATCGTAATTCCTATAAATAGAAAATAGAGAGGTTTAAATACAATAGAGAAAAACAGATCAAGATTCTTATAAATAGAAAATAGAGGATTAGACACAGTAAGGCTCTTATAAATAAAAAAAAAACATAGAGACATAGATAAAACACAGTATCATTCCTATAAATAAAAAAGATAGAGTCGTTTAGT